GTAGTAGGTGAGCGGTAGGTGAGATGTGGTAGGTGAGAGGTGTCATATTACAAAATTGCTCTTTTACCTTAGTTCATTAATTGAGGGTCAAAATAACAATTCTCCACCTTGACCTTCAATTGAGAAACTTCGAAGTAAGGATTCCCTCAAGCATATCAGCGGGATTTTCTTCAGTGGGTATCTTCTCCACTACTATTGAACCCTTGGCGACGTCAACTCTCACAAAATGAAGCTTTATATCTATATGTTTGGATCTTTCATGAAATACCTGATTTCTGGTTAGGTGAATGGTGCTTTGGTTGTTGCAAAACACAGTTATCACCTTCTGATGTATCCCAAGCTCTTTAGTCATGCCCTTTAGCCACATAGCTTCCTTGATTGCTTCAGTCACAGCGATGTATTCGGCCTCTGTTGTTGAGAGGGCCACAACGGATTGGAGGTTAGACTTCCAACTGACTGCGGTACCGAAGACAGTGAAAATGAATCCGGTCAGTGACTTTCTGGTGTCGATGCTTCCTGCATAATCGGAGTCCACGTAACCAACTACCTTTTCTTCTTTGTCTTCCTGCCTTTTAAAGAGTAGACCAAGGTCTGTAGTGCCTCTCAGGTACCTCAGGATCCATTTTAATGTTTTCCAGTGAGTCTGCCTTGGGTTTGCCATGAACCTGCTTAATATGCTGACGGCGTAGGCCAAATCTGGTCCGCTGCAGATCATCCCATACATGATGCTACCAACCCCGCTGACATAAGGGACACCCTCCATGTACATTTTCTCATCTTCAGTTTCTGGTTCTTGAGAGTTTGACAATCTGAAGTGTTGGTCAATAGGTGTTGCAACCTGCTTAGCCTCATGCATGTTGAACCTTGCTAGAACCTTCTGAATATAAGACTTTTGAGACAAAAATAAGGTGTCATTTTTTCTATCTCTAGTAATCTCCATCCCTAGGATCTTTGTACCAGGTCCTAGGTCCTTCATGTCAAATTCAGAATTGAGCATACCTTTGATCTTCTGGATTTCCTCCCTACTTCTGTTGGCTACTAACATATCATCCACATAAAGAAGCAAGTAGGTACTTATTTCACTGTCTTGCCACTTCATGTACACGCAACTGTCGTAGCTGCATCTGACAAATCCGATCTTTAGCATGAACTCATCAAATCGTTTGTACCATTGTCTGGGGCTTTGTTT